AGCTTGAATGGAAGCAATATCGAACATGTTACTGATTTCAAACTACTTGGGATAACATTGGATCAGGATCTTTCATTTAATCGCCAAATTGAGGAGTTATGCAAAAAGTTGGCGAAACGTATTGGACTCCTTCGTCACATAAGTCCTTATCTGAAACGCAATCAACGTGACATATACTACTCTACGATCATTAAACCTGTAATGCTTTACGGTAGCACGACATGGACTTCTTGCAGTAAAGAAAATCTTTTGAAAGTCCTGCGTCTTCAAAAACGTGCGGCTAGAATTATCCTTGATGCCGAAAGAACAGCACCTTCTGTCGGCTTATTTAACACCTTAAAGTGGGTTCCTTTTTATGCTGAATCATACGTCAATCGATGCGCTCTAACCTACAAAAGGCTTAATGGAAATACCCCGCAATATATAAATGATATTCTTATCAGAAACTCTGACACTCATAATAGACAAACCCGTTTCTGTAATTTAAACTTAATGTGCCCGCGTTTTAAGAGAAGTTCTGAAGGGGGTCGAGCGTTTGCTGTGCGAGCCACGAAAGAATGGAACAAATTAAGTGTGGACATCAAACGGAGTACCAGTGTAAAACGTTTTAAGCGTTCCCTTTTTAAAATAATTTTAGATAATCAAATTCTTAGCAAATTATTCCTGTAATTTTTTTTATATTTTTAAATATTTTATGATGTATATAGGTTAATTATTTTATTTTAATTATTCCTAATATTGTTACGTTTGTTACAATTCCTTTTTTTTCCGAATTTTAATTTTCGAGGGCCATTAGTTTATCAGTTTCATTACTGTCACATGTTACCCTCGTTAAATAAAGTCTTACCTACCTACCTACCTACCAGGAAATATCACTCTACTCAAACCCATCGGTCCTTTTCACCGGGACGTGATCCGTCTCAATATGTCGCGTGACCCCATATGCCCCAGCTGGAAACTGGAATTATTACACATGATAAAAAGGGGGGGACCAATTAAAATAGAGTCGCAGTCACTCCATCACCAGAACGAAATTTCACGAAGATATCTAAAAAACAAATTCCAGAACAGTGGACTTGGTTTCATTTCATGAATTGCGATCAGCAGTAGACTTGGTTTCATTTCATGAATTGCGATCAATGGGAAAACTCCAATATCGACTTATGAGCAAATGTCAATCACTCTGTAGTGCAGGAAAAAAAAGTGCCCTTATCAAACAAACATTTGCATGACACCCCACACGATCATAGTTTGCAAAAAACGAATTAGCGTAAGAAATATCTTTTGAATGTTGACTTTCTCACCGGCGATATTTGAGCTTGTACATTCCTTTTTACTATATATCAAGACTGTGATTCGTGAACCGATTCACTCTGACATAGTGTGAACGCTTGTAATGATGTACGTGCAAAAATTTCAGCTTGCTCATTGACCGAGAACACTTCAATTAATCCGGAACAGTGCATAAAGTTGAAATTCGGAGTGCAAATAGTTGAAATTGACAGAAAGTCGCGAAAGTGAGGATAAGGTTAAAATAAAGTTTCAACGTTTTAATACAGAGTTTGAGGGGGAATGCCGAAAACAAAGACAGCAAACAAAGGAAAAACAATTGCTAAAAGTCTGGCAGTCTTTGTATTCCCAAAACGGCCACAAAAGTATGATCTGCATACCCTGAATAAAATTCTCGAGGAGTACTTTCACGCGTCAGTTCGTAAGAAAGCGAGGAAAGTTACTGTTGTCGACCAATACCAAAAGATTTCAAACTGATAAACTCTTGCCGATACCTAACAGAGAAAGAGTTCGAACCCTCGATTTTGCGTGACAAAGCGTTTAAAAGCTTGAAGCAAGTTCTTGAGGGAAAAGCCCGACGACTCCGACAACAAGGCAAAGGCACTGGAGCCGACACGATCACTGAGCCATGACGCGATATAAAAACAGCCAAAGAGGAAGACAGAGTCACGCTTTTGCTTCTATGTTATCAACTAGCTATGACATGATTTTGACTTGCTATTTGGGATAAATCAGCCCTCGTAAATATTTTTTAAATACTTCAAATTTCACTCATCCTACGGGTTCGTGCAATTTGGTTAGCCTTTGAAAATTGTATCTCAAATTGCATTCGAAATCGTGAGATTACCTACAAACAACAGCTTTTGAATCTCTTTTACGGTGTGCAATTCGCGTTATGAAACAGTTAGTAATTATCAATTGATTGAAAATTAGTAATTATCAAAAGTAAAACCCCAACGACACAGAATCATGATTTCTTTAGAAACTAGCCCCCTATACGCACAATTAACACTGAGCCACCCAGCCAAATCGAACACTGATATATTTCAGATATTTGTCGACGAGTACTGTGCTGTAAAATAAAAACTCTCAACTGAAGGGGTTCAAGTTTCCTTTTAATTTCTGATGGCGAAGTTCTTCTATCGCAGGAAAATGTTTCGAAATACTAATGATAATAAAAATACTAGGTAAGAAAAGAACGAAGTCTAGCTCATTTCTTTTCAACCAAACTTCTGTCTCATGATGATAATTACGGTCAATATTCAAAATCCTTCCCCGGTCACATCGAGAGAAACTCCAACAAGACTACATGCGTAGTTTGGGTCCCGATATAGAATCTTAGCTCTGGCGTTATATTCCATTTTCTGTGACGATTGAATTGTCTGATATTTGCAATTAATATTTGTTTGCAGCGAAGATGGATTGCTTCGTCCGATGTATCGATCGGGTTGCCGGGTTAACAAAAATTTACTGAAACTCATCTCTACGAGCAGTGTTCATTTCTTTCTTCGAGCCTGAAGGTTTACCAGCGTTCCTTAGCTAACTAGAGGCAGAATTTTTTTTGAGAAAACAATGGCGAAAGTTAAAAAAAATTAAGAACATGATGAAGAGATTGGGAGCTATCATGAAGAGCCCTCCATAAGTGAATCCCCCGTATCCCTGCTAATTAGCCTCGTTCAAGCGCGTAAATCAGCCGAATAATTATGATTGAATGTAGCACCATAGTTAGTAGAGGGGACTCTACTAACTATGGTAGCACTGATAATTCGAAACTGAGAAAGCTCCGGCTGTTAAGGAGGGACGGGGAAAGGTGTTTCTCTACCAAGATACTCAGAAAGTAGGACAAAAAGTTAAGANTGAGCTAACAAGCCAACTGGGAGGAGACCATTAAGTTGATTCTTAATAAACCCGTGATGATAAATCAGATACGATGAATATATGAAGTTGATATATTTTGAACTGCGGTTATAGATACGTATGATGCACGATCCTCGCAGTAGAGAGCGCGATTTATCATCACGGGTTTATTACGAATCAACTTAATGGCTTTTTTTTTCTTCTTTTTTCAGGTCTGATTTTCGCTATTGCATAAATAGCGCTCTCTACTGCAAGGATCGTGCATCATACTTAATTCATGCTATGCTAATTCCCAATCCATTTTCCCTGAAGACCGCGAACAGCTTCAACCCGTCGCCGCCGTTTGGGTTGTACGTCATTTATTCTTTGATTGGACATTTTGAACCTGGAACTTTTGGAGTTTTTCCAACTTTTCGAGACTTTAAGCGATGGAAAAATTATATAGTAAAGGGAACGTAAAATAGTGACTCGTAGTTCGTACACGTGTAGTAATTTCTTGAGGCCAGACGTCCGATCTTTCGCGGTTGAATGATGGCAGATACTTCTGTTGCAAGAGAATTATGTTAATGACTGCTTACACGGCCACAGAAATTAACATTAAAGTAGCAATATTTAAGGGGCATTGATGTCTTAAAACTGTAACATTGTAACATTTTTCACTTTGGATTTGCCGCCATCATCCTCCTGTAGTCCCAGCAACAGACAGGTGGATATTACACCACCATGTCGTCATCTCCTTCACATATGAAACCGAAAGTTCAAAGCCCTCAGTTACCCCACAAATGTCGATGGAAGGCCGTACTAGTTTCTAGTTTTTCTGTTCTCAGATAAGAAGCCTTATTAACATTTTGGTTTAGAATATTTTGATATGAGGTAATCACGTGTCTATAACAATGGTTTGAAAACGGAAGAGTAGGTCAGCATTTTGATCTCTGATTCCCTGCCACTTGAACGGCTCATAATTCCTATTCTTTATTTTCAACAGTCACAATATCACTGCTGTCGATAATTATGATGAATACGGCTTACAAAGTTTCTTTTATTTAATGAGTCAACCTTCCTTTACATCGTTTTCATAAATCACAAATAATTTGCTGCATGAGAATTCTGATATCTACCGCTTACAAGGTCGACGATAGTTAAATCGCTAAATAACTTCTGATATCATTTTAACCAGAGGACCCATTACTTTCCCTGCGAGCGAATTATGCTAACTACCGATTACATGGGTACATAAAGTACAAAAGTACATGGCTTAACGGTTCAGAGTTCAGTCCACAATAATCATGCAAAACAATACGCTCGATTTGATAGGGAAAACAAGAACTAGTGATTGACATGGATAAGATATACTCTTGGCAGTTGATTTGAAGCAGAAAGACTATTTGAAAATGCTACTGAAGAGAGCATAGAACAACTACTGGTCGCTTTCATTGCTTCGCAGGATGATCATTTTTCTTCGAAAAAATGTCAGGAACTAATTTGAAGTTCGTGTTTGTTCCTGCTTAGCATTTTAAAAATCTCTCACCTTTGCATAGTGATACTGTGATACCTTTTTACCAAATTATGTTGGCAGGTTAGTTGTTATATTGATATCCGGATTTCGCATTTCCTCATTTTATTCAGGTTTGAGGAAAATGTCTCCCCTGAACTGATTCTATCTAATATCGCCAGCTTTTCATTTTCATGATTTTGCTAACTAGCTCTTGATCTTAGCTGGTTTGCTCTTGCACCTTTCGTTTCCCGTCTCAATGAAAAGCTCCAAATTGAAGATGGGAGGACACATTTTCCTTTCGTGCTGGTAAACAATGTTTTCTTGCAAGTGAAGAAATCACCCTCACAGCAAAAATCGCCACGCGTTTTGCAAGGACAACCCCTACAGTGGCCCACAACTGTCACGGGAAAAGAAATAACCTAGCGGCAAAAAGAAATAACCTCGTGGCAAAAGAAAAAACCTCATGGCAAAAGCAAAAACCTCTCGGCAAAAAGAACAAGACACATGGCAAAAGAAAAAACCTCAGAGCAAAAGAAATAACCTCACGGCTGAAGAAAAAACCTCGCGGCAGAAGAAATAACCTCACGGCAAAAGAGACAAACTCCAGTGCATTCACAACTTGATGTTATTCGAACAGTAACATGCATTTCTCACAGGAAAAAGCTAACGATCACGAAGCGCTAAGATTCCACGTCAATATGAACGGCCGAAGTATACCTAACTGACCGCGTAACAGTCGCATTCCCTCATTTCATACAGAATCGCCTCTGATTGGCTAATAAACAATCAACTCACGTTATCCTTCACTCATGGACATAACCTTGAGTACTTCCCTTCAAATATTTTGCTTTAAGGACTATGATAAAGTAGGAGTAATGGGTATATATCATTCTTTTTTTTTTTTTTAAAAAAAAAGGAATTTTAAGATAAGTCAACCAACGCAGTGGTGATACCTCATCAGAAAACTGGGAATTTCATAAATAAGAAACTAAGGTTAATTTACGTGTAACGTTGCGGAAAAGGAATCCAAATCAAGCCATCTCGCTAAATTAGATTCTAGTTTTATGCCCATACCACAATACGTTTACTGCCGTAGACAGAAAATCAATATGGCAAAAGTTTGAATCCCGTTGCAGCCTAAATCTTTTTCAGGCCTCTTTTTCTACAATTTCTTGAATTGCTGTTCCTCCTACGAACATCATTTCGTTAACTGCTTATTATAAACTGGTCAAAACATGGTTTATTTCATCTTCTTGTGGTCAATTTCTTCCTTTTAAATGGTTTATTAATGAAGGTAAACTTAATTTTGTCAAAATGGAATTGAGAAGCCGTACAATTTAAATTAGCTGAGCAAGCATGGAAATATCATTCTGTGATTTAATTATAACCCATCAATATAGAACTCAACCGTAAGACCGTCACCAAAACTTGTTTTGACTCTTGAATAATTTTTATTGTAATTAACCATGATCGCAAATATTTACTGTTAGTATTACTTGCGTTACCGAAGTAAATAACTTATCGAGCGATATACCGCTGACAGTAATAAGACGAGTGATCATGAGGAGAAAATACACAAACTTTAGCTTTGACAACAAGTTTGTTAAGGAAAAATAAAATTTACTACTTGAGTTACTGTCTGATCAGTTGTACCAGAGTTCATTTACCAAAATGTTTAGTTTAACATTTGTTTTGTTCAGACTATTAAATAACTTCAACTTTCGACAACGGTTTAAATCACCCCTTCTAATCCAACTAAAAGACTGCTAACCTCAAGCGAAAAGCACATGTTCCTATATCCCATAATACTAACGCAACAAAAATGTCCTCAGTAGGGTGGTCCCATCACAAGTCCAGTCTCACTCGGGGGGCGCGATATCCTCCCACTGCGGGTCCGGGCCCGAACAACATTAGCATAGCATAGGGTGAACTATTATTTGTTTAAAAAAAATCGCCATCAAACAGGTTGTAATTCAAAAAAGCACTAAAAAAGCATCGGCATGTAAAATCAGCCAGAAAAATCACCAATTTTTAAGATCATGGTCTCTGAACGAGGCGTTTGATGCTACATTGTTTTTCGCTTGGACGTTCAATTTTTTCCTTGGCTTGCCTCCCCATTCAGGCCGAGTACTTCATCTCGCATGGCGGGTATGATTCCCATCGTGAAGGCTTTCCTCAAAAGCTCATCGACGTCTTTGATGTCGGGGTACTGATGCATCGCCCACTTGAGGTAAAACAGGAATTCATTCCAGTCGATGTACCCGTCATTGTCCATGTTGATGGCTTGCAAGGCCTTCTGCGTGTCAGGACACATGAAGCAGCCAAAGTAGGGAGCCATAAAGCCATTGTAGAAGGTGCTGAACATCAGCTGGTCGTCGTTCTGTTTATCATCCTCGAGGTCCCACTTGTCCCAAATCTGGCGAACGTCTTTAAAAAGCTTTATGGCATATTCACTGTCTGAGTCGACTTTTTTACAGATTTCCTCCATCTCGGTCGTGAGTTTTCCTCCTGATGTATCGAACAACCCGCTAAGGCCAGTTGCACTCGTGTACTCTAACTTCTTGCCTTCCGCAAGGTCTTTAGCCATTTGCCCTTTCATCTTACTGGCCATTTCCATTGTAAACTGCGGATCTTCGCCTAACAGCTCTATCAGCCTGTCCAGGATCATGCTTTCGGAGGATAATGGTGTAATCCTCACCGGAGCTTCTACTCCAAAGAAATTTGCCAGGTCAAAGTCGGTTTTCCCAATGGTTCCACCAGCTATACTTCCAAAGTCAAATGCTAAGTCCAGCGCCCTCTCGCCATAGATGACTTGCTTGGGATGGGGTGGAAAGTTAGTGGTGATCTTGGTCACATTATATGCAGCATCCCTCAGCTCGTTACAGTTGTAGCGTTTCAGTACCTTTTTGTTGCCCATTCGGACGAGGTTCATCAGGGTGACTGTAGAACATGCGTGGCCAAGAGCAGCTCCTTCCTCGCAAAGGCTTGCCCAGATACCGTTAGCTCCGTTGACAAGGCATTCAAGCTGCACCATTTCTGCAAGAGCCCACTTCTGATGAACATGAGCCAGAAGGTGTCCAGACGTCCACTCATGGGAATCCATGATCTTACGTACAGCTAAATAGTATGAAAAAAGTTAAGTTAGTATGTAAAGGGTGCCTCAAATCGCCGTCCTAGTTGTATTTCATAAGGAAGGATTCGCACACATACCTGTCCTTTTGGGGCTAGAAAATATTTTGGAAAGAGTTAAGCTTTAAACCCATCATTATTCTTTACTTAATTTAGAAATGATATTGCCAAAGACGAAAAGTAAAACAAAATTGAACTAAAAACAAAAACAACAAGAACAAAACGCTGGCAACAAAAAAAGGGTTTCTGGCTCTGTTTGAATTTCTTCAGCTTTCCCCTTTGAAATTTAAACTGAATTCCCTTGTCACTGACACACGCGGCTTCTCACTCCTTCATGCCATTGGCAGATCTGGTCGTCTCAGTGAAGATGCTTCCTATCATGTGATTTCTTTCATAAGACAGGATCAATATCAATATTGTATGTTCTTACGAAAAAGTCTTGGTGTACCTTTACTTGTACTACTGACAAAACAGTGTCTTTGTAAACGAGAAGCATAGAGATATCTCATTAAGAGGTCACACTCTCAAGCTCTCAGTCGATGATCTTGAGCTGAGCATCTGTGAGGATGACGATGTGGCATTTCACATTCCCAGAACCCGATGCTTTCCTGTTAATTGCGAACTAACCTCTTTCCTTCGTATTCCCCAATCTCAAGCCTGAACCTTGAAGATTGTTGTCCCTCATACTTCTGAGGTCGATAAAAAGAGAAAATTTGTCTCCAGTATAAAAGTCGGCTGCATTCATCGCGTTGGTCTCCTCTCCATCTGAAAACCTCTTCCCACGTATCTCTTGTCTTCCCACGCTGACTGTAAACCTTACTCGGAATTCTATCCACAACCACCTTCACCCTAGTGCTGTCGAAATTGAATGTATTCTTGTTGTCTATCGCTCCTGTTGGGAATAATTCCCCTAAGTGATCTCCTTGGGGTATTTACTGTTTTATTGTCTGGTGTGTCAGATCCCTGGTCTATCGATATTGTCTTGAGATGAGTGACATGCTCGTACATCAATCTCTTTCCATTTTTGTAGTTAGTTAAGACCTCATCAGCGAGTTCCTGACTGAATGACCTCATACCCAAGCTGGATATTAGTCAAATGATCCAATGGAACCTTATAATTGTTCCCATAAACATCTTTGAGCTTCCTATCCTTATCAACACCTGAGGTCATCTTCATGATCTCCAGCATTACGTCTGATCTTCGAAAGATCGTCATATTGAATACCTTCTCGGAACATACTTGCTCTCTCATTCTCAGTCAAGAAGAGGTCCTCATAGAGCTTAAATATATCATAGCCATTGGTGTCGTGCACCATTTCTCCTACGAAAGTGACGATCAACCTGCAAACACGAACTTTCTTTACATTGTTCACGAGAAGATTGTTTTCATCCCCACTCATGGTCAGATTGAAGATGAAGAGCAAGAGATCCTGGCACAATACTTTAACGTCAAGCCTTGGAACTGGGACTCTAATGATCCAACCTAGAGGAACCTTGTTCGGGTTCATTGTTACTCCATGAACTATGCGGTTTACCTCGGTGTTTAAGGTTTTTTTTCAAAACCTGGATAGCTTTGTTCATTGACTTCCAATTTATCATTATTATTATTATTATTTATTATTAATGGACATTCTATTCCAAGTAGCTAAATCTGGATACTGATCCTCTATTAGAAAACAATGACGAAGACGATGATAATGATGAAGTTGATGAAAATGCAACAACACCTTTTCAACCTGATAATTATTCTATCCCCAGGTATTTCAGGTGAAAATATTCCAATGACGACGACAATGAACAGAAGGGTAGAGGAAGGACCGAAAAACTGCTCAAACATCGATGAAGTTGCTGAAGTCGATGAAGAAAGCATGTTGGTGGGAGGAAAAAAACTGAAATGTTTTTCCAAAAGAAAGAGTACAGGTTTACTTCATAGTTTTAATGATAATTTCGAAACTTTTCTTGACTCAACTCGAGAGGAACTGGAAGCTCGATAGGATAAAGGAATTGAAGAGGAGCAGGTCTATTCAAGAAAATCAGGAGATCGCTATTAATGTGGGCGACGACTCAGTTACAAGAGAACGAGCGAGAGAAAGAATAACTGTGGAAAGATAACAGCTTAATGCTCTTGAGAGTGAGAGAGAAAAACTGGATGAATTATTATGTCTGTCAATATCCTTCTGAATTTTGCTATTGGGATGATATAACAAAGATCTCGATCTCTTAATTCAAGCGACTTATTGTATTCTCGTGAAATGGAACTGCCCTCATTGCCTACTGGTTCAGAGTGAGTTCAGTGGGAAACCCCCAAGTGCCTTCTTCATATTCTGTCTGATCCTGTGACGCTCGCATATGCTTTAATTATACAAATTGAAAAAAATGATAATGAAATTTGTCGCAAAAGCTGAAATTCATTTATAAAAATAAACTGGTAATACCTCCATGATTACAAAAAACTGTCTTAAATTACAGAAATTGTTCAGTATATGGTTATGTGCAAACAAACTTTCGTTGAATATCAGTAAGTCAAATTTTGTACTGTCTCACCCCGTCCAAAAACAACTACCCAAGTCAACTACATCATTTATCAATAATCAATCTCTAACAGAGAAAAACTCCATCAGATACCTAGGAATTTACATTGACTCAAATCTCACCTGGAAAAGTCATATTTATTCTATTGTAAAAAAGATTAAACGTAGTATAGGCACTCTATCAAAACTTCGCTATTATCTTAATAGCAAACCCTTACTGGACCTATACTTACTGGACCTCTTGTATATCCATTTTTGAAATACTGTATAATAGCTTGGGCAATACTTATCAAACTGCTGTGCAGCCTCTTTTTGTATTGCAAAAGAAAGCCCGGATTAGAATCATAACTTTCTCTGGCTTCTTAGAGCATACAAGCCCGCTTTTCAAAGATTTAAATAATTTACGCTAATTATGACAACCAGATGAGATAGCCAATCAACAGATACAGTCCATTCTAGAGCAACGAGAATTATTTAAAACTTTGATTCATCTTTTTCTGATGCTGAATGTCTCTTGAATTCTAGCTGGCCTCCAATATCCTATTTTTACAAGAAATGTGTTCTTTTATTTATGCACAAGGTTTTTTTTGACTCGCTGTCCTTTTCGTTTGGGGATCTTTTTTTCAAAAAAATGCCTCTGGCAGATCTCTGCGTGCCGTTAAATAGATGACTACACCCAGACCAGACTCTGAAGTGGGCAGGAACACCTTACGGTATAGAGGACCTGTTATTTGGAACTTTGTAAACAAAAATGCTTAACAACAACAAACATATGAAACATATGAAACATATGTGGCAATTTGTAATTCTTTGGTAAAGCCATCCTGCTCAAGATCGAAGCTTACCTTATTATTTACCAGCCAGTCAGGTCTTACTTTCTCAAAGGTGTTTGAAAAGCTGTTTTCATACACTGAATTACATTTTGCCATTTGTGGTTCACAATAAAAATAGGAAAATAAAATGAGTTTTTCAATGGACCCAACCAATCCTGGTGGATCGTGTGATAAAGATATGAAAAATAAAAATATCGTCAATCAGCCAACAAGAACTATGTAGATGGAAAAGTAGAAACAATCGATTTTTTCACTTTTTTGTCAAACTTTGCGAATAAAAGTCTCCTAATTGAGACATTCCTCAAAGTAAAAGTAACATGCTGGTATTACACGGACACAGACCACAACTCAAGTAGTCAAGTATTTTATTATTATAACTCTTGTGTTACTACTTTCGATGAGTCAGAATTGAACAAACATGCAACGCAGTACGATAGAATTTCACTCAGACCAAGAATATCCACTTCAAAGAACAACGGAAGACACTTTTTCTATTTTCCTGAAAATAGGCAATTTGATTTTCCTTTTATCACTCACCCTAAAATCTTAAGTTTCTCAAGAGTTATCAAGATAAATAGAAGAGGTTTAAATGGAACAACAATATATGGAAGAGACTTTTTTGATTGAAATTGGAGGCCTTTATGGTTCTTTCCTTCTCCGGGAAAAGATAAAGATCTTGTTATTGGTGGAATATGACCAAAATCAAGACCACATGCAGCTATGCATTGCTGTTGGTGAAAACATGAAAGTATTTAAATTGCAAATAGGAGAAGGTTAATATATGATTTTGTTGATGTTAAACCTTCCGTAGGATAAAGAAAGCAAGATGTAATGACGTAATCATTTTATATATCACGTGACCTTGTAAGAGCACATGCTTTCGTAGTACCGTGTGCTCGACACAATTCTTTTGATTAAATTCGATTCGAAGATGTTACATTGGCGACTAGGATATTAAGGATTCTTCACCGTTTACCCTGTCAAATCACGAAGGAATTATGGCTACAATTGCGAATTTTGGCGGCGAAATCGAACATTTCGACATGGACGCCGAGAAATCAAGTTTAGCGGCAAGATAGCTCGAATGGAAATCGTCCGCTAGTTATATGATAAAGGCTAAAGGAATCACAGACCCAGAGCAAAAATAAGCGACACTCTTACATACAGCTGGAAGAAAACTTCAAGAGGTCTAAGAAACTCTTCCAGAACTGCCAGAAAATTAATTACTTGGTGATCCAACTGTTTATGATATTGCGATTGCAAAGATGGATCGCTACTTCGCAGGAAACGTAGACCAGCCCTTTGAACGGCATAGATTTCGGTCAATGCTTCAAGAATCATATGAATTGACCGCCCATTTCGTGTCCCGATTGAGAAGACAAGCTGACTTCTGTGGTTTCGGCGATACAAAGAATATACAAGTGAGAGATCAACTCATCGAAGGTTGTTTATCGTCGAGACTGCGACTAAAACCTTTGGAAAGAGCTAACGAGTTGTCTTTAGATGTTTCTCTACAAATGGCTAGCTGTTATGAAGCTGTTACCTAACAAGCAAGTGAAATGCAAGCCGATAATGTAAACAAAATTGATGCAAAATCTGCTATTCGTAATTCAAAAATGGCCGGCCGATAACGTGATACTGCTCACCACAGGCAACCCACCAAAAAGGAAAAAGAGAGAAAATAATGGCAATGCGGAGACGAGGGACGTATGTCTAAAGATGAATGTTGTCCAACAAAGAAAGGGAAATGTAGGAGGTGTGGTCACGTCGGACACTTTGCTAAAGTTAGCAGGAGCAAGAACAACTACCAGACAAAAATCTTCAGTGTGGAAGATAATGAAAGCCTGGATGACGAAATCTTTGCAATTGAGCTATCCCCTGAAGACGAGCCGGAAGTGAAGCTTACCACTGGAGGTCAAGAAGTTAACATGTTAATATACTCTGGTGCTTCTTGCAATGTAACTGACCATCGACTATGGGAGCAACTCCAATCGAATGGAATCAGTTGTAGAAGCCAGTCGGAAAACAGGTCCATACGGTCTTATGCTACAGCGAGCAAAGACGAAGTCGAAGCAAAGGTCTGGTCAAAGGTGGAGCTCGGAGACAAACGTTTCAGTGTCATATGTCGAATTTCTGGTGATTTCAAAGAAAGGCAGACCCATACTGGGAAGAAAAACAGTAATGCAGCTTGGAGTCCTTGCAATCAAAGTACCTGAATCTGAAGTAAATCTCGTAGAGAGTGAGTTCCAGGAACTGTTCAGTGATAAAGTTGGAAAATTGACAAATTATTCTGTTGAACTGCATCTCAAGCCTGATGCAAGGTTTGTAGCACAACCATGCAGACGTGTCCCATACAGTCTTCGCAGCAAAGTAGAGGAAAATCTGACGGAATTGGAGGATATGGACATCATTGAGAGAGTGGAAGGTCCAACGCCGTGTGTCACCCGATTGTCGTCGCTCCTGAACAAAGCGGGGACATCAGGATATGTGTGGATATGAGAATAGCCAATACAGCTATAGAGCGTTCAAGACACGCTATACCAACGATCTATGATGTGCTGAGTGAACTCAGTGGCAACGCTGTGTTTACTAAACTTGATCTTACCATGGGATTCCATCAACTGGAGTTCAAAAGAAGGTATCTCAAGAGAAGTCACAATCTTCACGACTCATGCAGGCCTTTTTAGATATAAGCGTCTAATGTTTGGCATTTGCTCAGCGCCAGAATTGTATCAATATGTAATCGACCAAGTTCTTCATAGCGCCGGCTGTACTGGATGTCAAAGCATATCTGATGATATTGTGGTGTACGGCAAGGATGTAGCTGAACTTGACGAAAGGCTGAAAAAGGTCATACACACGTTGAAAGAGACAGGTTTGACACTCAACAAGAAGAAGTGCGTCTTCAGGATGAATGAGATTGAATTCATGGCAAATTTGTTGTTGGCGAAAGGCATAGGCCCTACAGAGTCCAGAGGAAAAGCACTCCAAGAAGCAAGTGAACCAAAAGACAGCTTAGAAGTGAGGAGTTTTCTGGGCTGGGTGAATTTCAGCGCACGATTTATCAGTGGCCTGGTAACGAGAGCAGAGCCATTGAGAAGACTCACAAAGAAGAATACACCCTTTGTGCGGGGAAAGAATCAAAGGAAAGCCTTTGAAGCACTGAAGAATAGCCTGACGGATGTGGATGCACTGGCGTGCTTTAACCCTGCATTGAAAACTAGAGTTGTTGCTGACGCCAGCCCAGTAGGGCTTGGTGTAGTGTTGTTGCAGGAACCCGACAAAGTCTGGAGAACTGTCTGCTAAGCAAACAAAACCCTGTCTAGCGTTGAACGAAGATACTCGCAAACCGAAAAAGAAGCATTGGCCTTAGTCTGGTCGGTTGAAAGGTTTCATGACTACCTCGGGTAGAGAGTTTGAACTTGTCACCGACCACAAGCCATTGGAAATTATCTATTCACCTAAATCAAAGCTTAGTGCGCGTATCGAGAGATGGGTTCTTCGGTTTCAGCCATATCATTTTCATGTCATCTATAAACCTGGTAAAGAGAACATCGCTGACACCCTGTCAAGATTGCCACACACAGATGAGGGAAAGAACTTTGATGACACTGAGAATTATGTGAATTTCATAATCGTGAAAGCTGTTCCAAAAGCAATGAGTGCGAAAAAAAATTGAAGAAGTGGCATTGAATGACAAAGAGATGGAGTGTTTAACGCAAGCTATCCAAACTGGGAGGTGGGAAGGAACTGAATGTTCAGAATACCTACATGTAGCCAATGAACTGTGTGTCGTGGGTGGTATAGTTATGAGAGGAACCAGCATAGTGATCCCTAAAGGTCTTAGAACAACAGTATTAACCATTGGACATGAAGGACATTTAGGTGTAGTCAGCATGAAACAACGTATTCGCATTAAAGTATGGTGGCCAAAGCTAGAAAAGGATGTGGAAAGGTTTGTCAAGACCTGTGATGCATGTCAGTTAGTGGGCAGACCTGACCCTCCAGATCCTGTGGCAAGTACAGAACTACCTCAAGGACCCTGGTGCGCTGTCGCAATTGATTACCTGGGACCGTTACCCTCAGGTGAACATATAGTGGTAGTTGTTGACTACTATAGCAGATATTACGAGGTGGCTGTTGTAAGGACAATTACATCAGAGAAGACCATAGAGCTTTTAGAAACCATATTTGACAGACATGGACTGCCTGAACTGCTTGTAAGTGACAATGGGCCAAAGCATCGACGTGTAACAACTCGGTGGGCTCAAGCTAATGGCGAGGTAGAGAGACAGAATAGATCCATACTCAAAAGATTACAGCTGGCACATGCAGAAGGAAAGGACTGGAGAAGAGAACTGGCCAGGTATATGGCTGTTTACAGAACAACTCCTCCCCAGACAACTGGACAGATACCAGCATTTCTTTTGATGGGCCGACATCCAAGAACAAAGTTACTTGAATTGTCACAACCAACCCACGGTGATGAGGAAACCAGAGATGGAGATCAACTGATGAAATTCAAGAGGAAACAGTATTCATATGCTTCGAGAAATGCTAAGATGAGTGAGGTGAAACAAGGTGACCTTGTACTCATGAAACAGGATAAGAAGAACAAACTGTCCACCACATTTGAGCCTCAGCTGTACAAAGTGAAAGAGAAGAAAGGAAATCAGGTCGTTGTGTCTGATAGCGACAATCTCGTCAGGGTTTGGCACCGAAACAGAACTAAAGTCAAGCAGTAGCACCCTACTGATCATCAGCTCAATGATACGAAGGCTAATCAGGAGAACAAAACCACTCCCGCTTCAGTTGAGATGGACACAGCAGTCGAATCAGGAAGTACTGATTTCCAGGAAGGCTCACCAAGGCGTTATCCGCAGAGGATTCGCAAACCACATGACAGATTGAACTTGTAGAGACATTGAACACTTCAAGAACTATTCACATGGACATAAAGTTTGTTTATTTTGTACCAAGTACTCTTATGAACGATTGTCTTTGTAACCGTCTATAGTTTTACTCTTTATTTATATTTCTAATGAAGAAAGGGATGTAATGACGTACTCATTTTTATATATCACGCGACCTTGTAAGAGCACATGCTTTTGTAGTACCGTGTGCTCGACACAGTTCTTTTGATTAAACTCGACTCGAAGATGTTACACAAGAGAAGGAGGTAAAATTGTCAGCTGAAATGGAGATGATGTAATTAATAATCCTTCTCCCTGGTGTAATGGGAAAAAGCTTCTCAACTTTACTACAAAAGTAATTATTACACGTGATTATGTATGAGGAAATTTTTCAAAACAAGATGGAGATGATTTTAATGAAGGTTTAAACTCAGACTGTCATACTCTTCTTAATATATACAAAGACACTGTTTCGACAGAAGAACAAATCAAGGCACAACACGACTTCTTCATGGGAGATACAATATTGATGCTGATCCTGTAATATGAAATCATAAAGAGGTAGAGTGAGAAGCCACTTCTGTCGACGATTTTGGAATTCATTTGGAATTTCACAGGGGAAAGCTGAAGAAATTAAAAATGAACTATGAACCCCTTTTTATAACTACTTCATGTCTCATGGGCATCGGGACCCGATATAAATATATCACAAACATGAGTATCAACCATGCATTTAGCTTCCAGACTTACCAGCGGTCCAAGCTCCAACCTCCTCAGGTAAATACTTGCCCGTTGGCTCCTCAAAGAGGATTCCAAAAGGGCGTTCAGCTGCAGGCATGGACGCAAGGTAGTCCACAACAGTGAAGGCACGCTCCATTTCTTCTCGCATAGCGTTCGGGAAGTCCCGCAAATTTACAAGGATCTTGGCATCTGGGTTCAGATGTGCTCGGCTCCATTTGAATCTTTCGGTCAGCAGCTGGCACATATCATTGGTGGTGAACTTTTCCCAGTTGATGCTGTTTGTGGCCAGATCTATCTCGATTATCGGATTGATTAATCCGTCCTCTTGCATCTTTCTCAAACCCACCGGAATAGTTTTGATGTCAGGAATACCTTGAGATACCGAGTCGATATCCTCACTGAATGCAAATAGGTTGTGGAGGTCTTCTTTACCTTCCTTACAATTACTGACGATCTCTTCGACCCAGGTGTCATCCACGCGTGGCATATGGGAATAGGCCGCCACAATTTTGTACTGGAATCCACACTTTCTGACCTCTTCGAAAATCTTGCGTTTGTTCTCTAGTGTGTGCGAACGGAGCTGACCTACTGTACTTTCTCGAAGTGAGTTGTCCAGCACAATGAGATCCAGTTCTTTCAGTCTGGCTCGCTTCTGTTCCTCTTTTGCAATGTTATCATTGACTTCTTTTTTAAGCTCTTCAAAAGGCATGTTGGGGCCGATCTAAATTCCTAAAGAAAAAGATCAGAAGTCAGACAGATAAATTCTATGGTCAACGTCAATTCTCATCCAATTTTCTTTACTATTGCAAAAATTGGTTTGTCTTTTATGCAGAATGAGAACTGTTTGGTATGTGGGCGAGAGAGGACATGTTGTGAGGCCATCGCTTAATTGGTCTGTACATACCATAATTTACCTGATCAGAATTTCATATTCAAACTGATGCATTTTGTTTAAGTTAAGTTTAAGTTTAAGTTTAATTGATTCGCCACAGGAATGGCAGGAGAAAGGAACAGAACTTTCATTCCAGTTGACACCTTACCCCTTTTTTTATCCACCCATCCCACCCCGGGGAGGACATCCATCACACAGTAACCTCGTGTGTGAGAAATTAACGTCTCCTACCCCAACCCTGCAGGAGACGGGACCTCCATTTATCGTCCTTATCCAAGAAGACTGGAAAGTCTAACCATTTGCAGATATTATTACAAAGGCAGCACTTTATTTGCAGTTAATTAATGACCCTGAGTGTTGGTCCGGCCGGATTTGAACTCACGACCTCCCACACAACAGTCCGGCGCTCTACCAATTGAGCTAACCGGGAAGCAGGAGAAGAACTTTAATTTATGTATGGCTGGATTTCTTTTTTACGTCAGTTACATTTCTTCTTGGAATGTGTCCTTTTTTGTTGTGATGTTTGATGATTTCGTCATGCATGTCGATTGCTTTTGTGAGATTTCATTATTATTTTATGAAGCGTACATATTTCTTAATGCTTTCTCTAGCACTCGTTTTCACAAAAAGTAGCTAATTATTTGAGGAAAAAGAGACTGGTGAGATTTTCTGAGAGTCGCCTCACTTTCACTGTTACTACACGATATAACTGGAAAAACGTCTCGCTCGTGAAGAAGGATTTGTTCCGAAATATATTTAATCTTTTTGTAGCTTCCTCTGTGTGCACTTTGCGTATGCTTTGTAGGAGTTTCCTTTAGAGAGAGTTCACCTCTCCCAAATGTTAAGAACATTCAATCACAACCAGTGTCTTTGTTGGCCGAAAGCATTTCACGAATATATAAATACTTTGTGAGGGGATAGTTTTCAATTTCACCGAATATAAGACTAAGGATTTGCTTATTTAGAAGTGAGGAATGACTCTTAGTGCTTATTGTGCACTATGAATGCCCATACATACATACATTTTATTGAACACATCCTCGTCTGGGGCTTTTCAGTGAACAATTTCATAATTTACATACTTGGTACTGTACATACAAAATTAACTAATAACACGTTATATACAATATAAATTACTTGTAACTTTAAAAATAGAATGCTTATTTAAATAAAAATTCATTCAGGAGATACCTTTTCAAAGCTCTCTTAAAAGAAGCTGGTATTTCATATAGTTTCACTCTTGAGTCAAGTCTATTCCAGATGGCTACACTTCTATAATAAAAGGTCCTCTGACCTGTTGTAGTTTTAAAAAGGGGAATGTTAAGTTGTTGAAAATTCCTCGTTTTACGCCCAGATACGCTGCCTCTTGTTACAAGCTCGGATGTCAAATATTCAGGCGCTTGTCCCGTTATACATTTAAATGATAAGGTAGCATCTCGATAGTACAGGATTGTTTTTACCGGTAGCCAGTGTAGATTCCTTAATGTGGAAGAAATATGATCATACCTCTTTACATTGCAAATAATTCGGGCGGCAGAATTTTGAACATGTTGTAGCTTATGAACATTACAACCTGATGTGGACGACCATACTGACGAACAGTTGTACATCTTTCTTAAAACAAGTGCGTTAATTATATTTTCAAGCAGATCTTTGTTAAAAGCGAATCTAATGCGGCTTAGTTGGGATAGTTTTGACATGAAAGATGAGACAGTCGCAGAGATATGATTGTCAGAGAATAGTATGGGATCGAAAGAAACACCAAGGTCTCACTGTTTGAGCTGGGATGATTTCCTTTCCAAGCAGGGACCTTTAATACATTAAAGCTGCTTTCCACGTTGATTTAAAGCACAATTTTACGTCGTTAGTCATACCGCTACCTTTAACTTCGTCGTACTGAAGAAGGAAAAAGTAGGAAACCAAGCTCGCGAATAGATTTCTCGAGTTAACCATGAAAATGCCCAAATGTAAACTTGAGAGTTATATAGGAAGAAGGCACCTTTGGAATAAGTAAAAAATATGTTTAATGGCATTGCTGAAGGGAAATATTTATGTAAATAGATCAGGCGGAAGTCTGAGGAATTTGATAAAAAAGAATCGCGATCGTTAAGTATGATCGTCCTGGTGAGTGCAGTCCTATGAAGAGCTATTGTCGTCAGTAGCGACTGACGTTTGACAACCTGAGGGAAAGTCATCATCAGAGTCAAGAGATCAGTTGTTGTCAGTCGAGTGTTAAGTCTGGTTCGTGTAACCCGATTGGTAAGTTTAGTCGGGATTTAATTGGCTGTAAGACTCAAGTACAGTAAGTCGGTCTTGATGGGTCAATTTTCGATCCATCCCTCATGTTAGGTCGTTATTTCTGGTTCATTTGTGGTGAATAAGTCGTGAGAAAGTCGCTAGTTGTTGACACCTGTTGACCGGAGTCTAAGTTATCAAACCAGCTTTCCAGAGTCAGTTGAAAGTATGTTAGTGCTGTAGGTTAAACAGTGCACAGAGTTCTAGTCAATAGTGTGGTTCTTAAGCCGATACTGTTCAGTTATGTGATTGTTGAAATCACTTTTTCTTGTCGCACGCTTAGCTTGTTTTCAGTCAGTCTCGTTGGTAGATTTCTTTCAGTCTCTCCGACTATATGCATACTAATGTCATTTTATGTGAAATCACTTTTTACTAATTTTCCACTTCAACTGGCATTACAATGTATTGAGACTGCTATCTGACAATCTACCGACCATCAGATGCTGCCGTCAACGAACAAACGGATAAAATGATACTTTAACTTATCTTTTGCAAGCATCAGTACTTGATATTTACTTCAAGTGGTTGATTGGAAGACATAAAGAATTGTTATATTATTTCCATTTTAAGTGTGGGCGCCTGCTTAGCGCAGAATAATTTGTATTTGTTGCAACCATGACAGTCTGAGTTCTGGTATTTTTCTATCTCAACATATATATATTGCGCTCTACTTTATGTATCGAGCACTGTAATACGAAAAAATCGAAACGCATACTTCCTATATATATATATAGTCAGACATTTTAAGTACTGTGGAGTCGACCATCTTAAACTTACGGTTATTGAAAAAGTTAGAAGTCAAAATCAAGAAATCAGAAAAGCAAGAGAAAATTATTGGATTTTAAGACTCAATCCTACTATCAATAAGCTTACTACATGAATTATAACTACTTTAACTTATCTATTTTAGTCACCATAACACGTTTCGCTGTTATCTATTCTATTTTTATATTATTACGTCATGACATGTTTACTGTTGACACGAATTTTAAATTTGAATATTGCTCATGTAATTAGTATGCTCCTGAGGAAGACCGAGACGGTCGAAACGTCGAGCTAATAAACCAACAAAGCTACATTGGAGTTGGCCTCTTGACCATTACATTTCTGCTTTTATTA